GTCGGTTGATATTACGCTCCCACAGTAGCAAAATTCCGATGCTGTCTTCAACACGTCATCAGCCTCCTGGATTTTGGGCACGCTCACGGACTCCATTCTTTCTGAATGCTGGAAAAAACAAACAGTCTTGTTTGTGTTGATGTTGAACCCGGATTTAGCCGTTGTCGATGTGAGAGCTGTTGACATATACTGCAACCCATCTGCGTTGTGTGCAAACAACGCACAGTCGTCGCCAAACAGCAACATACGGATGGTTGTCTCACACACTCGGGTTCTCGCACCGAAACGGCGGATGTACTGCAACTCACTATCAATACGGTGCTCCACACGAACACTCTAATCGCAAACCGCATCAAAAGAACAAGACCTCATTGTATGAAGGTACATAGTAAACAGAGCAGGAGCCAAGACACAGCCTTGCTTCACACCAGAGACAGCACCAAACTCATCCGAGGTTTGTCAATTCAACTGCACCCTCGCCGGCATACCACTGTGCAGACAATCATTTAAACTGACGAACTTACCCAACACCATCCACAGTGCCTCGCGGTTCACGGTTTCAAATGCCTTGGTGACGTATATAAATCGAATATACTGGCTGGTGTGGCTCTCGGCATTTCTGCTGCAACTGATGAGACGCTCACACCAAATGTATGTTGCTGCGACCCGAACGGAATCAGCCTGGCTCCTCCGCCACGTTCGGTTCAACGACCTGATTGATGAAGATCCAGGCAATCATCTTCCCCGCACAACTGAGCAAATTGTTGCCACGATGATTCGTGGCACATTTCCTGCTTTTTTTGCCCTTATACGTTGGTAGCACAAGGACATCCTTCAGGTCAGCAAGCACTCCCTATGCAATCACGCGCGTTGCACCAAGTGCTACAGCACGTTTACCAACGCGGGTCCAGTGCTTCTCACCATTTTATGCTGGATCCCGTAGCTGTAGACGCACTTGCCGTTTCGCAGCTGAGCTAATTTTGTCTGTGTCTCATCCAGTGTACGCATGTTGACAAGACACATATTCATCTCTTGCTGTTGTAGCCCGTGTAACATAGGCCAGTCAATCTCTACGGTTGTTCAAGAGACAGTCGAGGTGCTAGGTCTGCATTATGTCTGCAGTCTGTGTGCAGGCAACGTTTGAAGTAGCATCGATCAGTCTCCTTAATATCTGCAAGGTGGATCCATACACCGCCTTCAAGGAGTCAAAGAATTTCTTATTTGGCGGCGTTTGACGTAGCAGTCCATCTGCTTGGCCTACTCCGTCCACAATGCATTCTTGATGCGACGAAGCACTCGCCGTCGAATTTTGCGAAACCGACTCTCGTTCTCTGCATCGGCAGGTTCATCCAAATGCGCAACAATTGCTGCGTTTTTCTCCAACGCCAATGCACTCATGGTCGTATTGATATCATCAAACCAATCGGGTTACTTGCGGTTTTCTCGGCAGCAGCCGTCACCTGTTCACGGATGTTGTTCCACAGGCCACTCATTGAGGCGATGCATTCGATATCGCCGAGGCGGGTTGCGATCATCTTTTTCAGTTTCATCCTCTTCACAATAGTACCAAGGAAAATGTATGAAATTTGCACCGGTTCACGGCAGGAGTGCAATACATAGATTTACGAAACTAAATGTGCGGTTTGGTACCTACCAACTTGTGATCAGTGCCACCTTCAGCTCCGCACAGTACACGTGTCATGCGCACCTCACGCATCTCGCGCTGGCATACGATGACATAGTCGAGCAGGTGAACATGGCCACTGTGTGGGTGCGTCCAACTACCTATGTCATTCGCACCCAGTGCAAACTGTATGTTCGTGCTCATCAGACCGTGAGTGGTACGCAGTGAGAGAGCGCGGTCACCGTTCCCACTGACTGCACCAATACCATATGGATCGATGTCGTCTGTCCACACCGTGGCATTATGCCCGACGCGCGTGGAAATAGCCAGTGGCTCCTCGTATCATCAGGATAACGCATCGCGCTATTGAAAGTGGTAAGTTTACCTTTTCCAAGTCTCAGGCGAAGTATCATCAATCCTGGGCTGATACCAGTCGGCTGTGCCACTAGCCAGCCATTTAGGCGGTCGCATAGTGCAAGTCCGATCCATGTCCAGGTGGTGCTGAGGTGGCCTTTCCCATCCAGCAGAATGTGTAACCAGCACCAGCGTCATGCAACTTCCCTACCTCAGCGAGCCAAGTCTCGCTAAGTGCAGCGATGTCAATTCCGTAGTGAGCGAGTTTCATCTCGACGAGTGCAGTGCGTCTCTCAGGTTGCTCAGCCGTGTGCCGGTCGAGTAATGTGCGCACCTTTCAGTACCCGATGTTGAACGCTTTGCGCGGAGGCATGCGATTGCGTTGGCAGGCAATCGTAAGGGTGATGACGACCTGGATTGGAGGAAGTAGTGGGTTACGTGAAACGGGGATGGGGAGAGTATGCGCAAGGAAAGAAGAAAAAAGGGAGGCGTCAGCGGTAGCCTGTTCGCTTATCCACCCCGCTGTATGCAGCAGATAAGGCGGCCCGATACGCGACGACCGATGCAGCATTGGATTATTATTATTGACATGACCCATGGTTGGATGTTGGACTATGATACTGCTAGAGCATCCATACCTGAAAGGAGAGTGACTCGATCAAATGTACTCCTGAAAGGCAGCGGGCCGTGCATCATGAATCAGTAAACGGACTAGCGCGGCCATATGATTGGCGGCATCCTGTTCCGGATTTGACTGTCACTGTGGACAGTGCGGCACAGTAGCTGAGGTGTTCCCCACCTCTAGCTGACGTGTATAATGATGATGATGATGTCACTTTTGCCAGCCACAGGACGCCTGCGCCCTCAGAGGGACCATGGGTGGCTTGCGCTGCACCACCTACAGTTCCATCCACACACCCCACATCCAGTGTAAACCCGAAGGAATAAGACCGGAAGACATGTGGATGGGAGCCATGTTTCATCAACAGAGCCGGCCCACACTCCTTCACAAGCAAACACAAGCACGCTGTATTTGGGGAATCAAGTGCACACAAGGCGGTGGCTGGACCGTAGTCCGCTCCACACTGAGTGCATGGAACCACTTTTCGAGCCTAGCACAGCTACGACGATCGTGCACCCCGTCCCCGCAGGTGACGACCAGCTGTCTTCTGGAGCCAGTATGGACGAGGTAGTGGGTAATAGACAGATCGGCACCTTGTCAACAAGCACATCAAGCGCAGCCATACCTGGGATATCAAGCAACAGCCAATCACTTAAAATATCACTATCAAATAACTTATATCTATTAAAGCATACGGCTCTGGTTAGCAACGAATCCGCAATAAGTACAAATTGTCCGTAAGTTATTCAAAAAAGGCCACAAACACGATAAAGTTGACGAAGATAAGTACAATTAGCGTAAACAACGTGTGAACTTTGTTACAAGATTATTCAGGTGAGCTGAACAAACCAAATAAGTTGGAATGAAATTTATCCAGCTCAGAAGGATCTGGATTAAGGATATGTTGGTTTAGCCCAACATCGTTGATGGAGCACCATGAATGCAACATCAGCCTCAGCATGGGACATGCATATATATATATATATACATATATATATATATATATATATATATCACTATCTCCGGGTCCGCCGTCAGGAGCGATACAACTTTGTAGATGGGTGAACGGATTTCTAAATTGGGCGGATCTGCTAAACTTGAGAGCTGTAAATTACGTTCTATGGTTTACAGTGGCTTTACTGCACTTTGTAGGCGCGTATTGCTTTCTGCAATGAAGGCCATTCTACATCAAGTTATTTCCTAGCCTTCGCTTATGAACATGATCCGGCAATCCGCAGACATACTCTCAATTGTGGTCCAGCTTATATTACAAGAGCTTCACAGGGGTGATGGTTTGGATGCGAGAATTTCTTGAGAAATTCCTTGTCAGTTTGTTCCATCACCGGTTCTCCACTTACCTGTTTACACTACATTTTAATTCAAAATGAAATGATGATCATCTCAACCGTCTGTGTGTGTGTGTGGCAAAAACTAGACATTGCCTCGCTTCATATACACCGGAAATTGTGGTAACTTATAAGTGTTCTGCTTACAGTGACGACAGTGTTTCGTTGTAACCTTTATAGATTAATGTCAGTTGCTATCTTTTTCGTACGTCTTGCTTTTTTTAACTCTAAACAGCTATTTTTATCGCAAAGTTACTGACCTGTTCCACCTCACGCAAGTTCGCTTACGATCAGTTAGACCCGACACTTGGTTGGATAATGTCCGGCCTTATCGCAGTAACCCCCATCTGTGCAACGCCATCCGCACAACTGCATTTTGGAACCGACGATGTGCAGTTGGCAATTCACACCTGGCAGATAGGTCAAGCATTTGGGTCCCTTTTTTCTCTTTCTTGGCCATCGCCTTTGTCTATTACCTGGCTTTTTAATCAGCGTTCTCTGGCTAGTGCACAACGATTCATGCGATGCACGTGGGCGGCAGCCGGTTGTTTGATCGAAACAACCAATCACTGTTCTCATCAGTAGTAGTGCATTAGTAGTCTAGTCCTGTGCTCCGTTGCCATGTGACCACGGCAATCCGGCTAACGGGAACGGATATGAACAGTGCTTAGAGCAAAGAATCCACACTTTGACAGCAACGGGCGGTCTCAAATAACTGGAAGCGAATCATATTTGACACACAGCAACGCACAATTTTCATAGTATCTGCTCTTTTGCAACTCTTTCCAGCATTTTCCAGAAACTGTTTTTCGCCCCAACCGCTTTTCAGAATATCATCTAACGGTATGCAGACTGTACTTTGTGTGGTCTCGCAACAACGGACTTACATTCTGGTGTCACCCTACACCTTGCAAAGAGCAGTTTGCTTAAGGAATTAGTCTGTTTCCAACTTTATCTGCTGTCTTGTTTGTTGGTGCGAATACTACGCAATATGTTTACTCACTAGATTACATAGGTGAGATTATTCTCCACTCTTTGTTTCCCCACAATAAAGCTAGTTCCCACGGATGCACCAACTAATCTCGACAACCAGACTGTTTTCCACCATGATGATCGGCCACGTGTATCCCTCCGTTTGACACTGAAGCCCACGATGACATCAAAAAGTTACTTGCCAGTCGAGGAAATGAACTCATGCTGCCTCTCATTGGTACAGAAACCATCCATGCGCACAGAGTCTTCGCATGAAATTATTGCGGACATGATTTGTCAACGGGACAATTCTCCAGTACATAAAAACGAACCTGCCAATTTTGTACAACTCAACACAGACAACCACATCTCTTTGCCTGTCGATTCGTCTACCAATGCTTGTGGGACCGAGGTAAAGATGAAGGCGTATTCGTGACCTAACGATTGTATTCCTTATATGCCTCCTCATACTAAACCAGTGTTCGCATGCACCCTAGCGCGTTTAACTAACACACTTTTAATGGTATTACCAGATTATTCGTGTCTAGTTTGGACCATTTATGGCCTGAGATTTGCTTGTCAGCTGGGCTCTACGGCCCATGTCTATTTTGTTCTCTTCGTACCGTTGTAGTTGAGTACACTATCAGCATTTCGTCTAGTTCAGAGTTGTCCAAGGTATGCGTATAACATGTGACACCTGTCCGTAACCTAGAGCTAACGAGGTTGTCTCGTAATTTTGCGGCGCGGGTTCGAATCCGCGTTGAGGTGGATGTCCACGCGGTAAACTCATCCCACGTGCGACTGATGGTGGTCGCACGGCGGCGAAACGTCGTTACGGCATCCAGCTGACACCTTATCATTGTCTGTACGCTTGAATGTAAGGTATAAACCATATCGCACCATACCACTGTATTCAGAAATAAACCGCACTCTTGAAGTTGCGCGCCAACTGGCAAAAGGAGCGCGTTGCGACCATTGGGATTACGCCAGCTAACCATCAGAGCAAGCTGCGAGTGGCAGTTTATTGTCTAAACAATTCCCTACGTGCCCTTCGTGGCCGCAGCGCACTCCTTCTGTCGATTGGAGCGCTACCGAAAAATTCGGTTTATTTTTGTACACAGTACCAAATTTAGCCTCCGATCTTTTAAGTTAAACGCATTAGGTGTCAAATTTGATAAATAAGCCATGCGTGGAAAGTTATTATGTCTACAAAAGTTGGGCGGTAAATCGACAATTGTGTCACCGTTTGCTAGCGGATTCGGTGTGGGTTGAGAACAGCTGCCAAGGTTTCGACTATGACACTGAAGCTTGCTTGATAAATTAAAGTAATACAAAGTTGGCGTTTAACTATCAACAGTGGTGACATTTTTGTTTAAAAGACTATCCCTATACTAGAGCACTGAAACACCAAAATGTTATGTGTATTGGCATTGTTTTAGTTATAAGTTATTGCATCTAGAGACCAATACAGCAATTCTGGATTCGCAATCAATGCATTTAGTACTAGGAATGCATAAGCGTGGGGTGATGCCGGTGGTATTGGTGTTGACGCATGTAATCTAACGCAGATTCACCCTTCGGTCTCTGTCAAACTGACCGACTTGAGACTGATCAGTCTGGTTCCATCGATCCCCGCTACCTTGATGGTGAGCTTTTCCGTCATCATTATCATTACCTGTTAGCCGAAGGTGGAAAACACTCCGGATAATGAGCCACAATACAAAGGGATTATATATACATCACTGAATAAAATATAATACGAAAAAGCGATATGACGCTTAGTATCATTTTACGCATCAGATGTGGGAACGTGGTTGAAATTCGAAGTTAAGCGGGAGGGGTAGGCGCAATGAAGCTCACAGCACAAAACCATTGTGGTCGGCCCTTTGCTATGTTGTTGGTTATCGCAGTCATCATCCCTAGCTTTCCACAGTTACCGCCCGATTGATTACTCTCGGATCAGTCCAAATTTACCACTTTGTGATAGGCAACCAATACATTTCAAGATTTCCAACTCATGTATCATCTTTTCATAATGCTGACTGGCAGTTTCATCACTCCCCATGATCACTTTGGTGTTGGACTAGCTGATTGACGCTAGTTTAAAGAGTATACCCCATGCAAGTCTGCGGCGTACCCTCACCTATCCGTAACATGGTAGAAGATACTGACTGGTCAGATGGTGTTCCCACTTACATGGATATAAGTCTACTCAGCAACTACAGTAGATGAGGTTTACATCAAAGTCTCACTACCTCGCATTTCATACACGTCGATATGCTGCTGCCTTCGCCTTCGGAAATTGAATTGCTATTGAATTTCACTAACCTGCCGTACTTTCGTCCAACAGGCAGTTCTGCTTCTAACTGATCACTAGCTGGTTGAACAATGATTCGTACAGGTTAAGAAACACTCTGCTTTACAAGCCCCGTTGGGTAGACTGGTGGGTTATCTAAAAATGTTAATGAAAATAATGCAGTTAATATTTCTACTGTCAAAACAATGGACTTATCTCGTATGTAATGCAGTAGCACTGCACTCCAAATGTTTCCATAGCTTCAATAGGTGGAAAAAATAAATCCAAGGCATTTCCCGGGCGTAGGATGGAGAGTAGCCTCAAGTAACAAAATGTAAGTGGCGGGATGCATCATCCAACCGAATTTTTAATATGGCTAGCGTGAGTTCAGAAACCTTCGTTTCGGGAATAGCCTTCCACGGTTGACACAAAAGAATGGAAAAGAAATTTCTACGGCACGCCAGACGGCTGTGTTCTGCTTATTTCAAGGAGTAGCCTCTAAGTTTGGCGTTACTGCTGAGTTGCATTAAAGAGCGGCACACATGATTTGGATTGTGTAAAATCAAGTACGCCATAATCAAGTCGCCTCATAGTCGACGATACCGCCCGCTGAATACTCCCAAACGTTTAAGTCTGCTCGTATGGAAGGTGGCGCATTCCAATAACGTATTTAGAAACCCGACGTTGAGGTTGGTCCGTTGCAGTAAGGTCGTGCTTCAGCAAAAGTTGTCAAGCTTGGATTGACTATTCGATATGGGGCACTCAATATGTGTCTGAAAATACTGGTGTCTAGTTGTCCGATCGCCCGTCCTAGCAAGCCGACGTGCTGGTTATCAGTTTTCGATGTTTTTGCGGATTGCTTGGAACAACTCAATTTATCCTGAACAAGGACGCCAGTGTTGCATTCAACAGATGATCGCTGTAGTACTTGCGTTCCTAACTTGTAGGAATAGGTATTCTGATGTCGTATGGTGTCGTTGTCCACGTTGAACTGTAGCAGATTTCGGGTTGACTAATCTTGTACCATACCCAGGTCACATTGAAGTAAATTCCGATCAGTATCCGCCTGAATCCGGCGCTATATATTTTTATCATCGGCAAATATCGGGAAATTTGAAGCCATTTTCCGTCCAAGGTCATTGATGAATAGCAAAAATAATCTTGGACCTAGAACTGAGCCCTAGGGTTCAGATAAGGAACTCCGGACTCTGATCACTAATTGTCGTTGCGCGAGAAAGTTGGTGATTCAGCTCAAGTGAGGGTCACCGATCCCGTAATATTGAAACTTGGAATGGTAAATCCGATAATCTAAATGATGGAATGTCTTCGACAAATTCAAGTAAATCACATAAACAGCCTCACCAGCTTCAGCTGACACTCGGTCCATCTACTCCGTGCGATTAATAGATTCGCTGTGCAGAAAGCTATCGACGAAAGCCGTGTTGCTCGGGTGTAATAATGTTACAGTTTTCTAGATAACACGCCAATGCGTCGGCTACGATGGATTCCATGACTTTGGATAATACAGGGAGAAGAGACACTGGGCGGTAGTTTGAGGGCTCAGTCCTGCTTCCGCTTTTGTGAATCGGTTATTATTCCGAGCTTCCACATCGCAAGAATCTGGTTCTGTTCTAAGCAGCACTGAAAGAACTGTGCCAAAGTTTATTTCAGTTGCCTTAATACTGCTCCTCTGGGAAAATGGTGTTAACTCCCGGGGAGCTGGGTTTGCGTAGAGACGTCAGCTTCTGCAGTACAGCTTCGGCAATAAAAGAGATGTGAGTGAGTCCTGGAGGCGGGAAAACAAAAGTTGAAAGATGGCCTGATAGGAAGACTCTCTGAAATGTGGGAGCATATTGCGTCCGCAACGCGTTTGCTGCTTCTATAGTTGTTCTAGTTGGACCGTCACACGTCCGGAGCGGAGGAATTCCCTGCCTCACCTTACAACGAGCATTGACATACTTGTACAGCAGATTGTAGTTAGCGCTGTAAGTTTTTGTCATATTCTGCTGACATGCAACTTTGTCATCTCTGAGCACTTGGGTGCAGTTGTTGCGACGGGCTACGTATATGTCCCAAGTACATGGCGTTGGTGATGATCTATACTCTCGCCAGGCTGCATTTCGTACAGTCATCCATTTTCTAATTCTGCTCCTCACAAGAGAAACGGTTTTTGGCTCATTTACAATCCTTGTCTCTGAGTCATCCGTAACCAGTTGTTTGAATTTGCTGACGAATTCGAGCCAAGCGACTTCCGAGTAGTCTTCAGCGAGGTACGACCCGGTTGTGGCACTGACGAGCTAGGCTAAGCGGTCGTAGCGCGTAATGGTGCGCACCATCTCAGTGTTCTGGTGGCGATATTCCGCATAGCAGATGAAGTCGGAACTGATGAGTGCATGATCACTGTGACCCAAACGGCATTCTACAATCAATACATCAAACATATGTTCCTCTTTGGTGAACACAGGATCCAGTAAAGATGGTCTGCTGTCTGTTCTGAAACGAGTGGGCATAATGACATGATTGTAAAGTGGAACACTGCTTATGAGCTTTTGCAGATCTGCTTTGAATGGTTCTCCGATTGGAGCAGTGGTTTCTAAACAATGTACGTTGATATCACCCATGATACGGATGTGAGTGTGCGTTCGCTTTAGACTGCATCTTAAAGCTGTCGCAAGTTGGCAGTCCATTTCCGGTGGTGTTTAGGGGGCGGTATACCAAAGCCATAAGACAGGTATCTCGGCCATGTAGTTACAGACGACACCGAAGAGAATCGGTAAACTGTAAGTCTGAATTCTCAACGGTCTCGCATTGTATGTCGCTTCGGTAATACAGAATTATCCCTCCTCCTTTCGTATGAGTGACATGCCAGGCAGCGAGACTTCAGCGCCTATCATTCCACTGTGCGACCATGTATCCATGCACCGATGCCATCGCTTTGCTTCGAAATTTGGCGATCTTTCAGTTCGGCCAGCTTATTGAAAAGACCTTGAGCATTGGCATAAAGGCAGGATAGTTTCTCGGTCTCTAGGAGTCCACAGGGAGCCAAAGGAGTGAAGCGTGGTAGAATGCCGACCGAAGTAAGGTCAGCCGTTATTCGTCTTTTTTGATGGGATGAAGATGACGCATCGTTCGCAAACCGATTTGGCCAAGGTCCGTCCCATTCCTCGTCCGGACATATTGCAGAATCGCGTGACCGAGCGGTAAAGGGATGCTCCTGCGGTATCGCTGGTAGGTTTACTTTTTCAGGTAAGCTCATGTCTGGTCTTTGTAAGGCTTCAGTAGCTTTTAGCTGAAGTTCAGATCGCAGGCTTTTACGATGTCTCTGCCAACGTTCTAACACTTCCGTCGCTATCTGCTCTGACTGAACCAAGAGTTTTAGGTCCGCTTCCTTTATACTTTGGTGAAAGAGGTAGTATTTTGAGCGATCGCACCACTACGTTGTCCAGGAAAAGTGTTTCAAGAATGAACCGCCACTGTTCCAAATCGTAATTACCGGCCTCATGACTATCGTGGGAAGGAAGTTCTGGCACGTCATAAGTAAAAATTGTGGTTGGACAATCCCACTTGCTGTGTCCATCCAATTTCTTTCTTTTAGATTGACGCGTGCCCCAAGACTCAGGATAGATGCGTACCTTACAAGGCCCGTGTTGTAGCGCATTTGCAGAGAGTAAAACGTTTTCCACATCAATACTCGATTCCAGCGTCACTGTACTACTTCTGGGTTCGCCATCGTGTATAGAGTTATGGTGACGAGTACCTCTCACTAGGTTTGTGCGTTTGGCTTTTACGTTCATCAAAATGCACAGTGAGTTTCACTGGTCTTGGTCGTCAGACAACTTACCCCGCAATGTGATGGTCGTAGATTCGGGGATATTAGTGCACACGACAGTTAGGGTTATTATTGGAACCACTTTTTGTTGAACCGCAAGGCCGGGTGATTTTTGGGCCTGGCTTTATGCCAAGTGATGATGGTCTACTGTTTGTTGCTCTATTGGCGTTAGCATTGTAACAGAGGAGACATTAAAGGTAACATCCCGAGGGTCTTTTGCAGCGCTCTCTGCATATGTGACTGGAGTCTCTGGGGATTTGAACTCGACCGGAGACTCTTGGGTTGCAGATGCAGTAGACTCGGGTTCGGCTGTCCCATCCTTGTTAATGATACAAGTTGTCAAGACCGGCTGAATTTGATCGATCACACGTTTCGAGTGGTGCCTGATTTTCGTGGTCCTGAGTACCGTTTGTCTATCAGAGCTACGGTCTGTTTTCGTCTGGCGTTCTTCCGAAATTGAAGATGATAACGGTAATGGGGACCTTGTCAATCGTGGTTTGAGCGAAGCAAATTTTGCACCATTGCTTCTCTTTGAAACCACTGAGTTATCCTGGTGCATACTCGTTTCCAGTGATATAATCTTAGCGTTCGTTCGTTGGTAAACTTCTTCTACTAACCGGTCGCACTTTTGGCTTAGGAGAAGTATGCATTTGACTAGTGGGTTTGTCGAACACGCAGTACAAAGCCAGAGATCGTCTTGGGAGCTGTTTCGATCTCTCACGTGTTGTTGGGAAAGGTTTTCACATATCGCATAGTACCGTTTGAAACTGTGTTAGCAAGGTAAACCAAATTTGACTAATCGGTTACACTCTGCGGACTCGCATTTTCCCTTCAACTGGAGCACTTTTGGAATCGCATCTGCTTGCTTTCTGCTACTCGTCATAGTGTTGCTACCTTACGCAGGAAGCTAGTTGACGTTGCATTCTTTTCCGACTGGCCGGTTACGCATCCTAGTCAGACGGCTGGATGCGGCCACTTCGCCTCCTGGTCATGCACTGCCCTGTGGTGTGAGAGGAACGCGATAAAACCAATCTGCCCGAACTTGAAACGTACGCACTGCATGCTGGCTTTAATTCACACGCCGGTCCAAACCCCGCACGGTCAGATGACTGCGGTAGTTGTACTCCTGTTTATTGGCCGGAGCGCTGCTCGCGACAGTGTAACCCGATTGACACGATAGCAGGGTGGATCGATCGCTGTCGTCCGATGAAATTTTGTCAGCCGGTCCTCCAGAACCGGTAAGAGGATTTAGGTCATAAGGCGATGGCGTAATTTCTAAGGTTGGCGATCCACTGGATAGAGCTGGTATCTCCGTGTCGGATGAGTGGAGCTTAAGCGATGTGTGATGAAATGCGTAGGGAAAACCCCACTACAAGGCGGATCACAGGATGATTGAAGGCGCTTTGCAGTTTTCACAAAACTGATTGATATCCTTTCAATATTTTCGGTGCTGGAAAGAACACACAAAAAGGAAATGAATGGTATATGATAATCCAAAATCCGTTAAGGTTGCACGTAGATATCGTACAAAATGTGCAAATTATCGGAGCTTCAGTTTTGTGCCCACTTGTCAGTGACTTTGTGCCGATTGCAGTGATAGTTGGTGCATAATCTGCCTAAATGTAGTTTGTCACAGCTAAACTGCGTTAGGAATTCATACGATATGCAGTTCGTTGCATTTCGCAGATGAGGTTACTTTTCATACAGTGATCTTTGTTGTTTTCCCCCAACCCACTCCACTTTTCGTAAAAGCAGCAACATACCGAACAGAATCTAGAACTGCGCCACTATTGCTACACGGTAGAGTTGCGTAGCATCAAAACCTCTCACCATTTCGGTCAAGATCCGATGGTTTATGCTAAGTAAGCTCAATTTGCCGCATTGTGTCAATTAATGCGTTCCTGTTACCATAGTTTTACCCTATTGTGCTGTGATATGGATGGTGATTCGTTTGTTCCCGAGGGAACTTTAAATGCATTTTACTCACAGCATTCTCGTCTTCGAAGGCTTCTTCTCTTCAACCTTCAGGGGGTGCTCAGTAGCGCCCCAAAAGATATCGCTTATCTTTTACCTGCGATCTTTTTACTGATCGATTGTACTATGTTTGTACTGTGTTTCACTGATCCCCACTCCCGTCCATATCGTCCCGCGCGCGTATGCACTGACATTCGCTCCTGTTTGGTTCTTGAGTTCACGTCTTCTTCTGACCTATAACGAATGCAGTCTACTTTGTCCGACCCTCCTGTCTTTTGACACCTGCGTCTCGGACCAGTAATTACCAGTCCTATACCTTATTCTTGTTTGTGATCTACGTGGTATTCAAGATAACCTATCTGTTCTTTTTTATTGTTAATGCTTACTCGGAAAGCGTCCGCTTCAACTCGCTTTTTCAAGTGCATTTCTTGCACCATGTGTCTGGCTGCCCCAGCACACTTCACTATGACGGGAAATTACTAAAAATGAAATAAAGAAAAGTAATCCAACCATTAAGTTCATCAGAAGTGGAATCATTAAATGGGAGTGTCAGCAGTTCAAGCTCCGTCTCATGAACATGCTAGCGAGGCATTTTTAATTCTACACACTGGCTAGAAGCAGCACGAAATGACTGCAGGAGACGGTAACCCCATGGCCACTTTTCCGTATCCGTCGAAAAATATTACTTCCCTCTGTCCTTTCTAACACGTGCTCACCTGTTCATATGGTCGATATACGTTCCTTGTCGAACTTTCGTTCATTATAGCTAGATAAAAATAATTGGACAGATGGAAGTGATGGAACTAGCCAACTGTAATCAGCGGATTGCCTCAGAAAGATCAGCCACGCAACGAATGAGGCGCAATTCTAACAGACCATATCAGGAATTGTAATCCATTTACACGAATTCATTTATTTGTTTACAACGATCGGCAACCTTTTATTGATTGGATCAAGGTGAAGGGCATCGTTTCTTTTGGGCACGGCAACAACGCCTTAATTTTCGTATGAGCTACATTAGTATATGCGTAAACCCCATGGAGACTGTTGTAACTCACTTTGGATTCATAAAATGCTTGTTTCTCTGAGGCACTGGTAATTTTGATGATGACGCTGGGGTTGCTTCGACTGTACACGCTTCGTGTGACTAGATTCTGGCGAACGCAATGAAATGATGTCACAAAATTACCCAGCTAGACAGCATCTTGATTCTTAGCTTGTTGATAAAACGCTGTCTTGTATTCTTTTGTCCCGTTCACTAATATATCTTATTGCCTAGCGGTAAAGGAACGAAGCTGCTGTCTGCGTTCTCAGGTTAACATCAGCATTTAGTTTATATTGGAGTATAAGTGCCGATGACTTTTATACAGTGCAAATAAGACCCGAACAACAAGATTTGAAGGACCCAAGTACCTTTCTCAGTTGGTTCATTGAGTTGTAGAGAGCAGGCGGGAAATTCCCTGTCAGTCCCATCGATTCCATATCATACTGGGTTTGATTCGTGTTGTTGCGTTACGACATTCCTCGAAAGTTCGTCACAATTGCAATGACAGCCGCAAGATTCCACATTCTCAGTGAATGTTTGTCTAGCAGCCGCTTGAAACTTTCCTCAGGTGGCGCGCCTGCAATTTCTTCCGGTATGCCGTTCCAATCATTTACCACTCTAGTGGATAGGGTGACGTCCATGCGAATTCTGTGTCTTCTTTGCTTAAATAGTTTCCATGTGTGGCCTCGTGTGGTACAATCAGTGTTGGGCCGGAAGAGTTGTTGCAATTCACTTCCAAGTTCCCCTCGGAGGATGCGCCTAATGTAAATGAGATCACCCCGGCGACGGCGGAGCTCCAGCGAGAACAGATTTAGTTGCTGGAGTCCAGTGGGGTACGGGAGATCACGAAGCACCAGAACAGCTTTAGATGCACGTCTCTGAACCTTTTCCAGCAGAGCGCATTCAAAACTTTGAAAGCGGATGGATAGCCGGTAGGCCATATTTTAAGACTGAAAGGACGTCCGACATGAACAAAGGTCAAAAAATCCCAGGTATCATTCGAGCGAATGACCTTCTTAAGGCACCCACCAGTCTCCTTCCAGTGGCTACCTTCTTCAACATGTCCTGCGTCGTTCTAAGCTCAGAAGTCACGATAACCCCGATATCTCTCTCGTGAATGGTATTCCTGAGGAGTAACCCACCAATGTGGTATGCACCGTACGGTTCAGTTCTAGCCATTGGGAGAACAGCGCATTTATCTCGGTTTACTGGCAATTCCCACTTGATGGACCATTCGTGTAGCTGGTCTAGAACCCCTTGTAATATGTCCGCATCCTCAAGGTTGGATACTTTTGACCATAGCTTGAGGTCATCGGCGTAGATCAAGCAGTCAGTTTGAAGTGCAGTCGGCAGATCGTTAATGTACAGTTTGAAGAGCTCTGGTCCAAGCACTGATCCTTGAGGAACGCCACCTGTCAGGCACAGGAGCAGAGAGTGTTTGGTTCACTTGTACGCGCATTGTCCTACCTCTTAAGAAATCGGCAATCCAGGAGAGAACATTTCCTGTAATGCCAATTTCCTGGAGTTTATGTAGCAGTCGTACGTGTGGAACTTTATCAAGTTTTTTATTGAAACCAGTGAATATTACGTCAGCCTGTTTTCTGACATCTATGGTTGCGACAAGGATAATAGGAGTGATAAAACAATAACTGGGGCATGAGGGGAAAATAGTGGCGTGAGATAATTCACTGTTGGCCATTCGAACTTGCTACTTTGGGAAGCATACTGAACACCATAAAATAACTCGGATCATCGACTCGGTATAACTACAGGGGTGACTATGCAAGCCTACCTTCTCATGACCTGAAGCACGCAGATGCTTCACAACGTCAGCATGCGTCATGTGTGCTTTCGAAGAAGGAACATCTCAAATCCAAGAAAAAAGTGATCATCAGCAGGCGGGAATTATCTGTTAGTCACTTTGCAAGAGAATGCGAATGTCTAAAATATGAGTGTAGTCTGGAACCCCAGACTCCTGCGGTGGTCTCTTGTGGTCGTAAATGTAACAAACCAACCATAGAGCTTGTTGGTCTGTGTGCAGAAGAGGTAGTTACGAAAGGGTGTCAAAATAAATCATTAGCGATGGATCTTGGTCAACACTAGCAAGCTGTTGTATCTGGTTTGGGTGCTCCTATCCAACTTGGTGGCCAGTGGAATCGAAACCAGGCTAATTGAATGGCTATGTCGACGCGTGAACCAGTATCAAATGCTAAGGTAACATAGCATTTTTTGCGTTACTTTGTTCTAAACTACTGGCCAGAACTGCATAACGCTCCAACAGCACAGGATAGTCCAGGCATTAATGATTTACAAGGAATAGCAGACATGTTTGTTCACCAACAAACTTATCCCTCAATTGGTCGCAATGTTAACATCGAAAGAAAGTTAAGCATGAGACGCGAAACCAGGCTATTTGCTCAACCTCCGTTTCTTGAAGGCAAAGTAGCTAGTTGCATGCGACGCACAGTTTTAGTTCACTGATTAACTCAGGCCGTTTTCACACTAGTTAAGCGATTCAGCGGTAAAGTGATGTCATGCGAACTTCCTCACAAATGGTGACTCTACACCGGAAGCCTCCAACACCACTCGATTCAGGCATTTGAAATGCAAAATACATCTTAAAGGCGTGAGGATATTTGAAGCGTCATAATTGGATAGGTGTTATACTCCACTTGAGAGCAAGAACTCTTCTGTAATTGGAGACATTTGCCGCCCAGTTCTGAATTCAGGCTGTGAACTGCGATGATTGCGTAGTCTCAAAACCTCATCTTTATCTGTCGGCAACGACTCAAACGCAGCTGCTGTGGATCAGCGTGTATTCATCGCACTACGACGAACAATCCCCATCTGGTTAATCTTCTTCCGAGCAGGACCGAATCGTTGCTCAAGTAGGGCACTGGCCCACATGTCTTCTACTGTAGTTGAATTCACACTGAAGATAATTTTGGAACGATATTTTGTGCACTCTCTGACACACGCAATTAGTCGCGGTTACAGAGGAAACACGCGATGATCTCGCGAAACATGCGCTGTTTATTTAGTAAAACGTGAGATAGCTACTTTCTACTCTGAATGAGTCTGAACTTCCATTCTCGAATAGGTCCTTTCCCCAGTACCTTCCATATGGAGTGATCCCAACAAACTTCATTACAGTTCATTGCTTTTTGCTCATGATACTTTAGTCAAGTGCCTAAACTAGATGATTTTGATCATGCCCTCTCTTCGAATGGCCAGTTGACGACTTCCACTGATTATTACGACATATCGTCTTTATTACGATTCTTTCTTCCTTGTCCAGTTTATCCAGGGTGACCAGCGAAAACTGCTGTCCTTCTACGCTACCTGCGGGTTTCGTACTGTAGAAAGTCGTTTAATGACGGCATTCTACACCAAAATTAATCAATCGAAAAGTTAGATCCCATTTTGCACTCTTGAATTTATGGCACATTGTCCCGGGACACACATACATGACTGTTGCGCATCGGTGAACCTTCGATTATATCGTCCTGATTCTACTTACTGTGGTATTGCTCTTTGCCTCCTTAGTGCTACTTAGTTGACAGTTAGAGTCACTCACAGTATCAGCGTGACTCAATGGAAAACGTTAAAACTAATAGTCAAAAAGAATCCATCAAATGATCACTTTACGAGGTTTTCAGGATTGCTAGGCAGCTTCATAAGCCGAATTGTCTTTCTTGTGTCTGTCTGATCATTATCATTAGAACAGTATAGTCATTTTCCAAGCACACGCATTGTCGTCGTTTCACTTGGTGTTATTTGAACCGTGACCTTCACTGGACCTAGATCGAATGTGACTCAGTCAGATGCATCCAGCGCGCGTCA